GTGTGGCTGCAAATCAGCTTCCAATTTGCTCCGTTCCCATCGGACTATCCAGTTCGCTAGGAACGCATATGGTCCCAGTTATGGGCTCATGCACCTAGCACGTTCTGTTCAGTTCTTCTTCTTATACCGAGGAGGAGTTGCTGCTACTGCTACTGCTACTGCTGTTGCAAATCAGGGCAGGGAAAAGGAGGCGGCTCATCTCAGCCTGAGGCAGGACAAGTGATCAAACACGCTGACAGTATGCGATTCAAACTTCACAAGCTCATTACTAAGAACATACAAACACCTATCATCATCACCATTGTCACCACTATCACCATTACTCACCCACCCCTCCAGAAGTACGTAGAAGAGATCGATCCCACTTATCCCACTTATCATCTATCGATATCTACTCGACCACGGAACCAGGCACCGGCCGGCAGATTTACTTACGCCCCGTCCACCATCCACTCCTAGCCTCCCCAGGTAACCTTAGTTTCTTCGCCTTCGATTACTGTTTCCATCCATGGATGGAGTGGATTGGCATTAGTATCTGTCCATAGGAAGAGAGGGGGTGTGCTGCTCTTGACCCGCTCACGTATCGAGGATGGGGAATAGTCGTATCGATAACAAGACTAGGTACGGAATACTTACTTTAGTCTACTGAGCAAGATAGCAAGGCAACAGGGCAGAAAAAGGCAGAGCATGACTTACAGAGTGCAGAGCGAGCAAGACTACGAGTGACTAGTCCCCAGTCTAGTACCTACTCCGTACTAACTAACCTCCATACTCTCTCCGTACCGGTTACCAGCTGATGGACCCGGATTTACCGTTCTATGCCCTCTCCAGTCTACAGCCCCAAAGATGTCTTACCCCTTTCGTCGGACGAGCGAATAATAATAGCTCGCTGGCTGATGCAGAAGGGAGAGGCCCAGGACCGACTCTCAGGAGAGTAATTCGAACTTTAACCTACCTACGGCTATCGGACTGCGAACATTTCACCTGCGCTGGGTGATACGATTGATTTATCTTCCCATCCACCAGAAAGAGGATCAGAGAGTGATAACTTACATGGTAGGTGTCAAGCTTGACAATCACTGCATTTTTTTTCAACTACTGCTTCTCATGTATGACTGGCACCTGCAATAAGAGTAATCTGGATGAAAAATATTATTCTTTGCGTCCTTCTTTTAAGGTTCTCCACGAAGACTCTGTACTCTCTGTATGTACCATACTGTACAATGTATGTACATACACTTCATCGGTTTTGCCTCGTGGATTTTCTATCAGCAACCATCCACCCACCATCTTGTCCACTTATTTTTCCTTTTCTTTTTTTCTTTTTTTTCTTTTATTATTATTTTTGTCTTCGAGTTCTATCTGGCTGGAGAATCATTCTTTCACCTCTTACTTGAAGTGTATATGGATGATAAAAAACACCAACAGAATAAAATCAGAACCTTTCTGAATCAAACAAGCATAGAATAAATAACAGATCATTGGAATTGGTCAGTGTTAGAGGGATTGGGAGTAAAGAAAGAGAAAGTGTGTGTGCCTGGCGTTTCCGTTCTCGCGGTGTCTGGAAAATCCCGTCCGTCAGTCTCCGCCCGCCTGTCAGTCGTCGACCTCCCCTAAGAGTGAACAAGAGAGAGAGAGAGAGAGAGAGACAAGAGTGTGTGAGAGAACCTAGCAGCGCAGCGCAGCGCAACTCCCATCCCATCCCATCCCATCCCATCCCATCCCATCCCCATCCCCATCCCCATCATTCCTCCCGTCCATTATCTCTCCCTCTCCCTCTCACTCACTCACTCACTCTCTCCCCCTCCCTAATTCCTTTTCCTCTTCCTCTCCCATCTTACCCTTCAGCCCTTTAGGCTCTCTTCTTCTCGTCTTTTTCTTCCTCTCCTCTATTTGTTTTCTCGCCTACCCCATCTCTTTTTTCTCTCCCCTCCCTCCCTCTCCGTCCTCGCCCGCCGGCCCGTCTTCTGCTTGATTCAGAAGACAAGGTGCCCAGGACTTCCCTCCCTTCACTTCTCCCATTGTCCGTTTTCTCCTCCTTCATCTTTTTTTCGCCATCCTCGTCCTTATCTTTCAGATCTTCGTTTCCATCTGTGTACATGGCTCGACCGCTTTAGACAGCCTCTGCCATCTTGGAGCCTTGTGTTCCTTCCGTCGTACCTCCGTCGCCAACTCCTCCCTCTTCGATCGCCTGATCCGAGCCCTTCGTTTCCCTTTCTTCCTTTTTCCTCAACAGCATTCGTTCTGCATAACCGAAGCGCATTTTCTTTATTTGTTGTATCAGTATAATTCACTGGCATTTCTTCTAGAACAGGTACGCTCCCTTCGCTATCCTCCCTTCCCCTCTCCCACCCATCCACAACATCCTCTTCCCCCCCTGGTTGAGGAGGAAAGCACCATCGTGGCTAGAGAGCCATCGACCCTTGAAATTCAACCAATCTGTTAACCCGCTCGCTCTTGTGCAATGCTGACTGACAACTGTGTGTAGCACAGAGTCTCTCCTGTTTTCCTTTTCCCTATCTCTTACTCCTACCCTTGAATACTTCTTCGGATATATCTCGACGTTCGACTTGCCAAGTGTTGGAAGAATAATCTTGCCTCTCAAGGGACCAACTTATTTGTGACGCTATCTGTCACGCGTCGGACCCTGTTCCGTTCTGAGTAGCGGAGGAGAACACCATGGCTGCGTTGGTACAGACAATTCCTCAGCAAAGTGGCACGGTTACTGTGCTCCAAACTCGACCATCATCTTCCTCGGGCGTGTTCGCACCTTCTTCGCCTCCCTCACAATCTCAAAATCCGCGGAACTCGACTATGTCCTGGAACCCCTACAATACCCCGGGCAACTCAGCGACACACAGGGCAAGCCACCAGGCTGTGGCCCCCTACCAATTCAACAGCACCCCCAACCTCTCCAATTCGACGAGCATGCACAATCGTCAGTCGGGTTCTCCTCACTTGAGACCTGAGCATCGTACCTCTTCTGCTCCTTCCGCACCCCAATTATCCGCAACTTCTGTTCACGGCGGACTCAACTCGCGCTTTTCCTATCACCCTGCAGCTGGTTCTGTTTACTCATCCTCCAACTCCTCTGTGCAGTCCTACATGTCGAAAGACGACTCCGCCATCCCATCCCGGCAGCTCCGTGCTGAGCCTCCTTTGCGTCCGTTGTCGACGGTCAACATCCCCTCCTCGAACTTCATGAACATATCTTCTCCCACCGTTGCTCGGCCCTCTCCCGATCGGTATCGACGCGGAAACCGGCGTCCTGACAGTGCCGCGGGACTTCCATCTCCACAGCCACAAACGAACGCACCTGGGTCGGCACGGACTGCACCACCCACGATGGATGATAGCCTTCTCCAACCCGGCACACCCGGCACACCCGGCTCTCCAGGGTCAACCGGTTCTGTTTCCGACGGCGCCCGCCGCCCCGGTCACGTTCGAGCGCCCAGTGCAGACGACACTTCACGTGCGGACAAGCCTCAAACGGAATTGGCTAAGCGGTACCGTCGCCGAAGCTGGGGTACTATTGATAACGCCGGTCTCATCAACATGCAACTTCACCTGCCTACATCATCGCCGATCCCATCGACAGGTGGCCAGGATTACTTCGACCAAAACCACCGGCCCCGATCGGCTCAATCCAATCGAGATGTTCAAGGAAGCATTCCGTCTGCACACTCCTCTACGTCATCCGTGCGCGATGCAGGACACATCGAAAACGCAAACCCGTCAAGCCGAGGCCCCAGCAAACCAGAGGAAAACAAACGGACCAGCAAGCCCTCACCCCTGTCTCAGCCGGTTGATGTCGATTCGAAGCCCTCTTCCCCCAAACCCCCGCAGTCTACTCCAAGTCCCACACCTGCAGCAGCCGCAAATCCTGCTACAGAACGACTCTCAGAGTTGGCGAAGAACGACCTGAAACGGCCGGGTAAATCCAGATTGAGAAGGGCTTTCTCGTTTGGCAGTGCTTCTGAGCTCCGTAAGGCGTCGAACAAGAAGGAGGTCATTGCTGCGGAAAGGGCTCGCCGGGAATTGCTACAGGAAGAGCTGGGCCCCGAGCAGGCGGCGATTGCTGAGCAGCAGGAGGCAAGTGGACTGGGCGAGAGCATTTATTCATCTCACCACCAAGGCCGTATCTTCAACAGTTCCACCGACAATCTCTCCGTCTCTTCGACCGCGTCTTCCGCATCAATCATGCTTCGAAAGATGGGCAAAGGGATGAAACGATCGACGCGGTCTCTCGTCGGCTTGTTTCGCCCCAAGTCAATCATGAGCACATCATCCACGGATGCTGTAATCACCGAGCCAATGGCGCCGCAACTGTCTGTGGTCAATATCGAAGCAGAGCGTAAAAGTGGGACTGTTAACGCGGACGCTCGCGATCTACCCCACGGGGGTACCGCGTTTCCTAAATTGGAGTTGATCGGATCAGGTGCCGCAGGTCATGATGATGGCGGTCTTGACAAGGGTCAGTCGCGCAAGAGCATTGTTGGAGGAGACAGAGAGCGAGCGGAAGTCCTGGCAGCAGTCCGGAAAGGCATTCTCAAAAGTAAGTAACTTGCTTCATTTGTTTGTTGGCATATCTAACAGTTGGCCGCAGAGACAAACTCGGATACCAATGTCCCTACCACTTCCACCAAGTCCTTTGAGAACTCCCAAGGGATCAACAACAGCGACTCGCCGCATTCCAGTGTTCCTAGCACACCGGAGGACCCGACGCGGTCTGGCAACCGCCGTTCCGACGCAATCAAGATTGCTGGCGAAGATGACTATCTCTCCGATAGCCGGTTTCTGGGATCTGAGGTCAAAAGCGCCCCTGTCACACCGCTTGCCAAGAGTCTCGTTTTCAGCCCTCGTATCCAGTTTCATGAGACGTGGCCCAGTGGGGAGTATGATCGTCGGGGTGACATTGCCACTTGCAATCGCCTGACGCCCCTGCTCGCCCAGCAAATCAAGGAGGAGCTCAACAACTTCAAGATGGTACGTGCTTGTGTTTCCATGTTGGTCGCGACGAGAGTAACTGACTGTCTGGGATAGGAGATGGAAGTCCATGAAACGTCGAAAATCTATACCCACTTTCTCTGAGTCGCTGCATTTATGAAAGGCGTTTTAACTGCGTGTCTTGTCTTATTCAATCTCCTGAGAAGTGTTGGATCGATCTATGACGGCATGGTACCCCTTGGTATCTTGTAGACCTGTTTCCTTTATTTCCCTAGAGGATGTTTTGGTTTTCGATCCGGGCTGATCATCGATCTCCGTCGCGCGCCCGAGACCTCCTATTCGACCTGTGCTCGACGGTTCAACCGGCCATCTCTTCATGCGTTTGCTCTCTGCGTTCTGGGTGTTACGGCGAAAACCACTTCCAGGTCTTGGACTTCGTTTCGTGTCTTGTGTTCTTTTATCTACGCATGGAGATCTATGGGGAGTCTTTCCACGGCCAGTGAGGAATTGCGTGGGATTGACGGGAACCATCAAAGGCAATTCTGCCCATGGCCCTTTCGGCTCTTTGGGCCTCAGACTTTGTTGCACCCTGATATCGGGCTCCGATCTCATCTACTCTGCCAGCGTCACGTTGTACGTGTGAGCCCAGTGACGTTTATGGTTTCCTGGACCTTTTCTCATCAACACTAATTCCGGACCCTCCCATTGAATGACCGGGGGTGGACGGTCGATCGACCTTTGCATCCGAGCCAGTCCGTCAGTCATTATTTCAGTCATCTCTTTAATCATGCGGTTGTTGCTTTTGTTCTGGAAGCGTGGAAATTGGGCAGCATCTCCTTTGCACACATTCACACCTTGTCTCATAGTGTCATCGTGTCATCGTTTCTTCTTTTCTCGTCCTGCGTCTGCCATGGTGTTTGTTATGTGTGTGTGTGTACAGCGAAATCTTTGTCTCTTCTTTTTCTTTTCTAGAAGTGGGATACATCGAGTGATGTTCGTGGACCGCTCTTCTCCTAGTGTTGACTGGTACTGGTGAAGCCAATGCAATAGTTCGCCTGAGTTCCTCTGATTCTGTCATGTGTAGAGCTGTATGATTTATTGTACTTGATGGAAGGTGGCGGCGGGTCAGTGTTTCTCCTGGCTCACCTCTCTTTCTACCGTTGATCGTGCGACGGGAAAGGATTTAAGTAGAAGGAGTCAGAGACATGTCGAGAGAAGAAAAAGAGCGGGCGAAAGAGGAAAACGTTATTAGGTAAGGGGCGGGGGGATGTCGAGGGAGAGCGAGAGTTTGTTGTTGGGGTTGGGGG